TTTCCTGGACTGTTTTTTTTTTTTTTTTTTTTGGTGATTCGTTTCGTGGGCTGCTCAAGAGTTGTTGTTATGATCTGCGGGCCATGTTGCTTGCTCTTTGTCTCCTTATCTGCTGCGGCGGGATTGTTTTCGGCACGATTCTGCATGTGGATGGTCTGGTCGTTCTCCCCTCCGCTGCAGCTCGTTTGTCTTTTTGGCATGTCATTTCGTTTGGTGAATACTGCAAATGTCACAATGGGAAGGCTAAAAAGTAAAAAGAAAAATGGGAAGGCTGTGTCCGGTAGTAGTTGATTTTCTAGTCTTGGGATATATATAGATCTGCGCAGAAACGTGTTCTGAAATAACTGCAGGTAGAGGGCCTTCCGTTTTACTCACCGAATGTGCAAAAATGAGAATGAATCTTCCCTGAGAACATGGGAAGAGATGACACTGCCATATGTTTTTCTTTTGTGCACGTGGCGGGTAGTGGAAAGAGGCCCAGGGAGAAGATGCACTGAAAGAGAAGAGATGTGGTTGTTCTGTATCCGAAACCTTGTATGCAGAATGATGACGGTTATGTACGTCATGCAGACTTCCTTTTCCTAAGGGGGAACAAAGGAAGGAGAGGGAGAGAGGGAGTCGAGGAGCTGGTGGCATCTTCGCTCATTTGCAGTTACTATACGTCACGGGGGAGAAACTTCTGAGTGTTGCACAATAGCCCCTGCCGGCCCCTGCCTCTGAATGCTACTGGTGGTGGGCCAGATCATATCGTCTGTCTCGAGTCTTAACTGTGGATATGGTCAGTACGTGCGTGCATGTTCATGCAGGTTTGAACAAGACGAAACTGAAAAAGAGACATCAATGACAAGCTTTCAGATCATATGACAGTAGACTGGATGTTCTTATGGAAGTCTGTCCTTGTCAGGGGATCCGTGTGGAGACGGAAACGTCATTTTGAGATCTGAATATGTTCTTATACAGAACCGCGTACTCTAAAAAGGGGTCTGTTGATCTATCTCAGATGGGCAGAAGCAGACCCCTATTGTAGAGTATTTGTAGAGTATGAGGTTCTGTATGAACAATAGAGGATTTTGAAGTGATAGGTGCACCGTTGAAGAGTAGGAGGCGTTGGCATGAACAACAAGGGGGGGTTGATACAAACATATGTGTCGTATGGAGGGTGCTCGCTGTGCTGCCGGTGTTAAACCACCAGTACTTCGTAAAGTAGTGCACGTTAACGCTACGCGATTTTATGAAATGTACGGGCCACTACAGGAGCGCCCAAATTCATCCAACTAGAAATGTTTCTATTCTTATTTTTCTTCCGCGGGCGATAGCTGGGCCAAGTACTGGTGGTTTGTAATTTCGTGACTGTAAATCTGGATGGAGTCCGCTGCCAATGTCTGCTGATTTTGTTTCTCTTTTCTGTTCTGCCATCGCATCCAGCTTGTCTCCTTGTTCTCCCTGGCGATCGTGGTGGTTGCGATGGGTCAGTAAATACGGGCTCTTGTTGATGGGTGAGGGTGGTGATTTGATGCCTCGTGTGACAGAGGGGTTCCATGTATGTGATTATTGAATGGGGGTATTGCTATGGGTCAGTAATTACGGGCTCGTGTTGATGGGTGAGGGTGGTGACTTGATGCCTCCTGTGACAGAGGGGTTACCTGTATGTGATTATTGAATGGGGGTATGTGATTATTGAATGGGGGTATTGCGATG